CCACTAGTCACTTGCTACTTATCTGTTTTAATTCTGTTAGTTTTCTATCTTTAGTATTTAATGGCTTTTTGCAATTATGTTGTTTTTAGGTTTGCTTTTTTCTGTGAAGCACTTTGTGACGTCTGCCTTTGAAAAGTGCTATAAACTTCTTTTATGCTATTGGCCCATTTCAGCTCTGGGTGCTTGAGGTTTGGGGGGTTGTGCTTCACAGTGACTTTCAGCTATGTGGAGCTAAATGTCAGGTTTTTTTTTTTTTAACAAAGGAAACTGTGTTTTGAGGCCAGCTAGGTCACCATGGTAACACAGGCTGCTCTGGTGCAGTATTACAGCAGCAGTTATCCATTTGTTAGCTGAAGGTGCTGCTGGCTAAATGTGTTATTTATGTTGGAGGCAGTTTGTTTCCATGTGTGAAGTTAATCCAGGTGGCTGCATGCTGCTCACTGACCAGGTGTTCTAGGGATGAGTTTTACTGGCTACCACTGGGCCGTGATGGTGAAAGAATAATGTCTAAAATAACGTTGTACAAACAAAGATGCATTAAGACTAGGAGTGTAGCGGTATGCTAAAATTGTATTCGGTTCAGTGTTTTGAAGGGCTCGGATCGATAAATTTTCTGTATATATTTATTTATTTAATATGTAAAGCGGCTCCTATAGTGAGCAGAACTAGGGATGCACTGATCAAGTTTTTTGCTGCCAATCACCGATATGGATATCAAAGAATGCTGATCACCGATACCGATCACCGATACTGAACACGTGGATTGGCCAGAAATGTTCTTAATTATGAGTGCTACAAACTACATAATCTGGGAATAAAGGAAATGGAACCTAATCTAAAATGGTCTGTATTAGGGTTGTCACGGTGTGAAAATTTAACCTCTCGGTTATTGTGACCAAAATTACCACGGTTTTCGGTATTATCGCGGTATTTTTTTTAAACGTGCTACATTTTCACACAATTAAATAAACCCTGTATGTCAGGAAATATTGTCCTCAGTTTGTGTCTAAATTTTGCCTAAAATGTGTTATTTTGTAATTATATTATTTGTTTACATTTTTTCCCTTTAGTCTTTAAAATGCCAATATTTGCCCATAACTTCTTATTTTATGTCTGTTTGATGTCATCATTTTAAAAATATTAGATCAGATGATACCTAGTACTCAAGTAGCCTTCTAATCAGATACTTTTTCACCCTTACTTGGGTAATAAACCCTATATCAGGAAAATATTGTCCTCGGTTTGTCTCCTTCCAGTGAGCTTTGCAGATGTGGGAAAATGTCATCAGGCAGTAATCATTGTTAAATTCCTAATTATTCTCGGAGAGAGACCAACTCTTATCTGCCCCTGGGAGCCCCGTAATGCATAGCGTCATTTCAACATGGGGGTGTCCGCGACACGGTTTATATGCAGGTAGCGGCGCTGCGGCTGCTTTATATAGCGACTCGTTGCATTCTCCCTCAACCCAAATCCTCGGATCACGCATTTTAGCTAAAACGCTAACGTTAGCTTGCCTTGCGTTGACTGCAGAGTTGTGGGTGATGGTCACTCAGATGTGTCATGAGATTTGAAGCGTTGCTGCCTTTCACAGACACTTTTCCTGCACGTGCTGATATCAGGATAGCCGTCTTCTATCAACTGTCCCTCGGCCTTCTTCAAATATCCAAAAGATGCCCGTACTTCCAACGTTGTCTTCTTTGAGGGATAATAAATGTCCTGAGCGCTGCCGTCTCTTCCTTTGGCCATTATTTCAGCTTTAGCTTCAAGAAAGTTTTGGCTGTAAACAACAAAGCGTGCATGTGCCGCCGGCAACTTCAGCAGATGATACGGTGGCTGGTAAGGGTCACCGCCCCTACACCGCAGCCACGGTAAACCCACCGAGATAATATTTTTTTAAAAACAAGATGGTTATTATTATCGTCAACTTTTTTTACCGGGGTTTACCGCTACACCGGTTACCGTGACAACCCTACCTGATCGGTCTGCTTTGATCTATTTTGAAAACTCCGATCAAAACCGATAGGGGCGCTATCGGCCGATTACGACCAAATGCCGATCCATCGGTGCATCCCTAAGCAGAACCAAGTGTCATCACAGGCTACTGATCTAGCGTGATTTCTTAAGTTATTTCACAGGTTATGTGCACAGCTATGAGTGCCACACTCATACAGACAAGTGTTGTGTTTGACTGTTGATGCTCCGTGTTTTTATTTCTGCAGCGATTCTTAAAACCCACCTCACACCGCCCAGAGTTTCTTCTTTAAAACTCGTATTCAGTAACGAGCTTCCTCCGAGCCGTATTTTTCGTTGTAGAATGAAAACATAAATTGATCCAGGGGGAAAGTTCAGCAGACGTGTTTGTTTACATTTTTGCCGCTGCATGCCGGCAGTGTGAGAGAAGGGAGGTAGGAGCCACGCTCCATTCAGCGTCTCTACAGGCTCCAGTAGCAGCGACAGCCAGCTGGTTTCATCCACTCTTAAAAGGCGTTGATCAGAATTTGCAGATCATATTTTTAATGGTGATCGGGCGCATGGAACCATAATGCATCACTCTATACAATTGTCCATGCGGAAACTCACCTAGGAACTTTTATCTGCTCCACTTAAATCACACAAATAAAATGTAATTATTTATCAGAAAAAATAAAACAAGACGATACGCAAGTGAACCGAACCGAAACGGTTCAACACTCCACTGTGAACAGTTACACCCCTAATTATAACATCTGATTTAAACAGAATTTCACTTCATGGGCACACAATTATTTTTATGACACCAACAATTCGATGCACTCTCCTTAAAGTGACCGTAGGGCTGAATCGAATGATTCGAAGGGTTCGATTCATTAAATTCCTCCATTCATTTTTTTTACTGATTCGAAGCTTCGTTAATTGTGCGCTCCACAGTCTGAACACATTTTACTGGCGAACTACATGATGATCTAGGTGCTGTGGAGGAAAATAGAGGAACCAGCAAAGACAAAAACCATTACAAAAGGCAGAAGTGGTCCAAAGTCTCTTGGCAAGAATTAAACTACGGGTAGATTGGCTAATGCTAAGCTAGCAGGTAGCATTCTCACGAGCAAGTGTGGTTCAGAAAAAAACGTGATGGTTGTGAATGACTAAACTCCACAAGTGAAAGGAAAAGCCTTTTATAATTTTGCTTTTCTATTTTCATATTTTTAGCAGACCATGATCTAATTTCACTTGAAACGTTGTCAGATAGAATACTCGATTAATTGATGGAAGATTTGATAGAATACCCGAATATTAAAATATTCGATAGCTGCAGCCCTAAGTGACAGTGTGTAGTTTCCCTGGTGATAGGGGGCAGTACATACCTAAATGATTGCAAGCACGCATTACTTTTGTGTTCAAGTAAGATCTTACCAACGGATGGCCATTAGGGTCAAAAATCCCAGGGAGCACATCAGAGTCCCTTTCATCACTGGCAACGAGTGAAGAGGCAAATGTGTAAAACAACGTTTTTTAATGATGAAAGTTTCGTAACCATTTGTTACAAATCAGTAAATGCATTTTGTCCTCGCAGGCTTCCATAGAAGGAAATAAGGCATCCAACATGGCATTGCCCAGATACTTAGACCCGCTCCTATGTATTTTAGAACAGATTTTTATGGTTATACGTTATGAAACTGCCAATTTTTTTCATCAACTGGGCATCTTTGAATTCATTTACAACATTTTGATGGATATTTCCAGAGATTAATGGTGAAAACTACACATTGTCACTTCACAGAAGCAATATGTAGCAATTCTGCAGTGAGATAATCACAAAACGATCCAACGTCTCAGTCATGTTTGAAGGAAGGTTACACTGACACAGATTTCCTCTTTAGCCGGGTGTGCTAGTCTGTTTTTCTCCTTTTAAACAAAAAGTCACAAGAGGGTCATACTCGGGGTGTTTCTCAATGTCAAGGCGTCTGGCCTTGCGAGGTGATGTCTTGTGAGGCCAGGCGCCTTGCTTACGAGGACACTGGCCTTCCTTGGTCAAAGAAAACAGTTAAATGGAACAGACTTGCATCACATGACCGCGGCTTCCACGGCGGTAACGTCACGTGACACGAGAGACAACGTTATATTTTATACGTATTAGTTTCAGTATGAATATATAACGAGCCTTTTTACTTTTTAAATTGTGTATATATTTATTAAATTAAAAATATAAGTGAGTTACTACCCGCTAGCCACCGAAGCTGCAACTACTAAGCAACTAACCAACCATAGATAACTTCTTTGGATCTAAAAAAACCCATTTTAAATTAGTTGACTTACTTTTAAACTTAAATTGTCCCCGATGTAGCTGCCAGCTTCTGATCCGCCGTTCTTTTGAAAATACAGCGGTGTGTTGTAGGTAATTTTTGACCAAGGCTAGGCTACAAGACACCTCCTGTGTATTCTTGCTCAGCTAGCTAAACACTAACAAACGGAGAGCACATGCCTTGGTAGAACATGAACATTGGAACCAATTGGAACACGTCTTGGCGGCTCCTGATGATGTATCTCCTAGGCAACCGGGGCGGGGCCAAGACATCAAGGCAAGGTTCCATTGTGAAACATTGACATTGTGAAACACCCTCTTTGTTTACCAACTATCCCATCTCCATACTTCCTGGTTCTAGAGCCAATCGTATTAGAGCCTGCAGGATTGCCAAGTCCTTAACCCAAATGTTGCTGCATTCGTATTCTTAATCTGAGACCAGCCAGCAAAAAGCAGCACTGTTGTGGAAATGTTAGCCAGTAACGACCAGGTCCACCATCCAGCTTTTCAGGAGGGGAGAGCTACTCCCCACTACCACGACTGTTTATAGTGGGGATGGTGGGCTGCTGACCTCGACTCAGGGTGTTGTGGATCTGTGGGTGGAGTACTTTGAATACCTCCTCAATCCCACCAGCACGTCTTCCAGTGAGGGTGCTGCAGGTCCTTTGTGCAACAGTCATTTGAGCTTGTGCAATAATGACCTTTTTGCACACTTTTGCAGGAGCGAGGAGGGTTTGAGGATGCAGCGCCAAAGGACAAGGTTCAGGATCTGAAGAACCAAGTGGATGGAGTGAAAGAAATCATGACGCAGAACGTGGATCGGATCCTGGCCCGTGGAGAGAGGCTGGATGACCTCATGGGCAAGTCTGAGGATCTCCAAGCAGGGGTCAGTGTTACCACTGGAGAGTGGGGGTCTTACCTGCTGGTACTGATACCAGTACTGATGGCACCAGTAATGTTGGCTGAGCAGTGGCTGGTTTTGTGAGTTTATTAGTGGTGGTGTTTATCTTGAAACATGTTGTAGATGGTGATGGGCCTTATTTTCAAATGACTGGCTTTTATTTATATATAAAGTATACTTTTTTTAAATATATTTTGAACGACCAATATTTTTGGATGTGCTGTGTTTGACTGTTGATGCTCCGTGTTTTTATTTGTGCATCGAGCCTTAAAACCTCACCTCTTACCGCCCAGAGTTTCTTCTTTAAAACTCATATTAAATAACGAGCTTCCTCCACACCGTGTTTCATCAACTGTCCCAGGGCAGCAGTTCAGCAGACTTGTTTGTTTACATTTTTGCCGCTGCGTGCCTGCACAGTGTGAGAGACGGGAGGGAGGGGCGACGCTCTGTTCAGCATCTCTACGGGCTCCACAGCAGCAGCGGCAGCCAGCTGGTTTGATCCGCTCTGAAAGGCGTTGATCAGGATTTGCAGATCACATTTTTTTAACGGAGATCAGGCGCATGCAGGCATCATGCGTCACTCAATACAGCGTCCATGTGGAAACTTGCCTAGGAACCTTTATCTGCTGCTCTTAATCATGCAAATTTATATAGATTATCGGGGGAAAAAGTTGATTTGTGGGTGACTTGCTCTTTAAATGTGTTTCAACCATGCCGATGGTTTCAACAGACACACTCGGGCAGAAATGTGTTGCTTTCCCTTCACCTGCAGGTTGTAAATATTCAATATATTCAGCGTAATTAAATGATTAACAAGAAGCAGCAGGAACTTGGAAGCTGTGCGTGTTCCTTTTTAACAGGATCTTGTTTTTGCTGTCCAAACCTGCAGCTTCGACCTAAAACCTGGACCATCTCACACCTGTGTGTCTCTGATCTCCTCCTCAGGCTCAGACCTTCAAACAGTCGGCTGGTAAAGTAGCTCGTGCCTACTGGTGGAAAAATGTCAAGCTGATCGTGGTCATCGTGGTGATTGTCGTCATCATCATCCTCGTCATCGTCCTTCTGGCCACTGGAGTGATTCCTACCAGTTCATCCGTGGGTCCGATCACCCCCACCACCAAGCCCTGAACTCGTGTCCGTAGTGACTCCATGAGAGCAGAAACACGTTGCTGTTGTAAACTCAGTAATATATCAACTCTATGAAAAATCACTTTGGTTTGGTGAATATTTAATATTTCCTCCGGTTACTTTCATGCTTTTGTGTAACGCACTGTAATGACACATAAGCTTGTGAAAATCATAAAAATACTTTGAATGACCGAGTCTTCTGAACAAAGTTCTCTGACTTCACTGTTTTTTTCCATTTGAACACCAGATTTCATTCTGTCCCTAACTGTTTCTGCTCCATCCTGACAAAGAAGGAGTTTGTAGATAAAGAACGAACTCCTTCAGTCTCGTGTGTGACGTCATCCAAGGTGGCAACGGTGAAGCTAGCGCTAACTGGGCCAGTGGTATTAGGAGAGGCTGGAGCTTGGGATGAACTCTGTTCCCTTGCCAGTAGTTGTGTTCGACATGCAGCGTGTAGGAGCCTCGGCTCTTTGTGCTACAGCAGCAGGCGGGGAGGTGAAACGGTTTCTAACACAACAGTAGGTTACTTACCCACATTTTAGGTTTTTTTTAAGTGTGTTTGTTTCTTTGTTACTTAACGTTTAGCTGCTACTCTTCTGCTGTTTAATGTTCAGGATCTTCCAGCCTACCAGCTGCAGAAGATTATTTATTCCCCTTCAGACCGCCCTCTGCTGGGCTTCTCTTAACCAGTAACCAGCTGGAACTGGGATTTCTAGTTTATGGGTCTTTCATTTTTATTTATTGTAGAATGTCTTGTTTCCACTTCCTCGTCTGTGTGCTGTTACAGTACCAGTCCAACCTGAAAGAGGTCAAAAAGCTTCTTCTCATAAATTACACCCACACGTGTATTAGCTTCGGTCATTAGCTGTAATGAAGGTTTCTTTAGAAATTAAGTTGTTGATTTATTCTGTGATGAAGGGTAGTGTGAAAGCGACCTGCTGTGGTGGGCTGACTAGGGTGTATGTATCATGTGCTGCTTATGCTGCAGTCTGCTGGCCTGATGCCTTCGGCTGAAACTGGCCTGATTTAGTTCTGCGTTGATTTCATTGACGCTGCAGAAGTATTGTAAGAATCACGAAGAGCTCATGCTTCTTGCTGGTTTTAATGGTCTGAAATAAACTGGATTTACCACCAAGTGTTCTTGTTCCTTTCCTTTAGGTCATCAACAGAATAGGGGTGCATATCGTTTTGTGGGTTTTGGGGGAGGGGGGTTGCAGGTTCAAATCTCAGCAGCAGCCTGTCTGCATGGGTGTGTTCTTTCCATGCAGGTGTGGGGTTTCCTCCTGCTGACAATTTCAGGTGTGTGTGTGTGTGTCCCTGTGACTGGCTGGAGACCTGTCCAGGGTGTCCCCACCTCTCTCCTGATGACTGCTGGGGTGAGACACTGGATAGGAAAAGTGTTTGAACACGAGATTTCAGAAAAATAAGCGAAGAAACTGATATTAGAAGGTTATGTTTATAACTCATGAAGCCAGAATAATGACAGATGTTCATAAGAGTTGAACAAAATTTAAATACCATCATTTCAGCTGCTAAGGATCAGAACTAGAGCAGGTCTGGTCCTGTAATGTTACCACATGACCACAAGAGGGTGAGTGTGTATTAGAGTAAAATAATTTATAAATCCCATCTAGATGTGAAAATTACTCAATCCATCACATTTATATTTTTAATAACTGTTCATGACTGGAAGAAAAACTAAATATTTTTCCTGTGAGATTTATGTCCTTCGTGTCTTTTTCCACCTTCCATATGAGCACATGCACCTTTTCCACCTTCCATATGTGCACATGCACCTTTTCCACCTTGCATATAAGCACATGCACCTTTTCCACCTTACATATGAGCACATGCACCTTTTCCACCTTGCATATAAGCACATGCACCTTTTCCACCTTGCATATGAGCACATGCACCTTTTCCACCTTACATATGAGCGCATGCACCTTTTCCACCTTCCATATGAGCACATGCACCTTTTCCACCTTCCATATGAGCACATGCACCTTTTCCACCTTCCATATGAGCACATGCACCTTTTCCACCTTACATATGAGCGCATGCACCTTTTCCACCTTCCATATGAGCACATGCACCTTTTCCACCTTCCATATGAGCACATGCACCTTTTCCACCTTACATATGAGCACATGCACCTTTTCCACCTTCCATATGTGTACATGCACCTTTTCCACCTTCCATATGTGCACATGCACCTTTTCCACCTTCCATATGTGCACATGCACCTTTTCCACCTTACATATGAGCACATGCACCTTTTCCACCTTGCATATAAGCACATGCACCTTTTCCACCTTCCATATGTGCACATGCACCTTTTCCACCTTACATACGAGCACATGCACCTTTTCCACCTTACATATAAGCACATGCACCTTTTCCACCTTCCATATGTGCGCATGCACCTTTTCCACCTTACATATGAGCACATGCACCTTTTCCACCTTCCATATGTGTACATGCACCTTTTCCACCTTCCATATGTGCACATGCACCTTTTCCACCTTCCATATGTGCACATGCACCTTTTCCACCTTACATATGAGCACATGCACCTTTTCCACCTTGCATATAAGCACATGCACCTTTTCCACCTTCCATATGTGCACATGCACCTTTTCCACCTTCCATACGAGCACATGCACCTTTTCCACCTTACATATAAGCACATGCACCTTTTCCACCTTCCATATGTGCGCATGCACCTTTTCCACCTTCCATATGTGCGCATGCACCTTTTCCACCTTACATACGAGCACATGCACCTTTTCCACCTTACATATGAGCACATGCACCTTTTCCACCTTACATATGAGCACATGCACCTTTTCCACCTTCCATATGAGCACATGCACCTTTTCCACCTTCCATATGAGCACATGCACCTTTTCCACCTTACATATGAGCACATGCACCTTTTCCACCTTCCATATGAGCACATGCACCTTTTCCACCTTCCATATGAGCACATGCACCTTTTCCACCTTCCATATGAGCACATGCACCTTTTCCACCTTCCATATGAGCACATGCACCTTTTCCACCTTCCATATGAGCACATGCACCTTTTCCACCTTCCATATGAGCACATGCACCTTTTCCACCTTACATACGAGCACATGCACCTTTTCCACCTTCCATATGAGCACATGCACCTTTTCCACCTTACATATGAGCACATGCACCTATTCCACCTTACATACGAGCACATGCACCTTTTCCACCTTACATACGAGCTCATGCACCTTTTCCACCTTCCATATGTGCACATGCACTTTTTCCACCTTCCATATGAGCACATGCACCTTTTCCACCTTCCATATGTGCACATGCACCTTTTCCACCTCACATATGAGCACATGCACCTTTTCCACCTTCCATATGAGCACATGCACCTTTTCCACCTTACATATGCAGGGGCGTGTCCAGGGAGTGGCCTGGGGTAGCACATGCCACCCTTAGAATCTGATTGGCCACCCCAGGTGCCACCCTACTAAGTTCCAGTTTAAATTGACTTTACATTGTCGACAAAAGGCTTGAGTTGTAAACTCCAAAACTAGTGTGGTAGCATGCACCTTTAACATTGTCTTCTAGCCCAGGCCTACAGTAATTTCTGTAGTATTAACATTATTTATTCTTTTTTCATGTTCACAAATAGTATTTAGAGTCCCACTCAACTCCAGTTGGTGGCAGTAATGCAACAAGAAGTGACTTGCTAACCACCACAAAACTAGAAGATGAACAGAAAAAAATGGTGATTGTGTAATGTGAAACTCCAAAATTCACTAAAAAGTAAATAAATAAATAAACGATTTATGTAAATAAATAAGCATAACCATTGGTGCCACCCATGCATAAACAAGTGCCCCACATGGGCCACCCCATTTTAAAAGTCCTGGACACGGCTCTGTACATATGAGCACATGCACCTTTTCCACCTTGCATATGTGCACATGCACCTTTTCCACCTTCCATATGAGCACATGCACCTTTTCCACCTTGCATATGTGCACATGCACCTTTTCCACCTTCCATATGAGCACATGCACCTTTTCCACCTTACATATGAGCACATGGACCTTTTCCACCTTCCATATGAGCGCATGCACCTGTTCCACCTTACATATGAGCGCATGCACCTTTTCCACCTTCCATATGAGCACATGCACCTTTTCCACCTTCCATATGAGCACATGCACCTTTTCCACCTTCCAAATGAGCACATGCACTTTTTCCACCTTCCAAATGAGCACATGCACCTTTTCCACCTTACATATGAGCACATGCACATTTTCCACCTTCCATATGAGCACATGCACCTTTTCCACCTTGCATATGAGCACATGCATCTTTTCCACCTTATAATATGAGCACATGCACCTTTTCCACCTTCCATATGTGCACATGCACCTTTTCCACCTTCCATATGTGCACATGCACCTTTTCCACCTTACATATGAGCACATGCACATTTTCCACCTTCCATATGAGCACATGCACCTTTTCCACCTTACATATGAGCACATGCACCTTTTCCACCTTCCATATGAGCACATGCACCTTTTCCACCTTCCATATGAGCACATGCACCTTTTCCACCTTACATATGAGCACATGCACCTTTTCCACCTTCCATATGAGCGCATGCACCTGTTCCACCTTATAATATGAGCACATGCACCTTTTCCACCTTCCATATGTGCACATGCACCTTTTCCACCTTACATATGAGCACATGCACATTTTCCACCTTCCATATGAGCACATGCACCTTTTCCACCTTACATATGAGCACATGCACCTTTTCCACCTTCCATATGAGCACATGCACCTTTTCCACCTTCCATATGTGCACATGCACCTTTTCCACCTTACATACGAGCACATGCACCTTTTCCACCTTACATACGAGCACATGCACCTTTTCCACCTTACATACGAGCACATGCACCTTTTCCACCTTACATACGAGCACATGCACCTTTTCCACCTTACATATGAGCACATGCACCTTTTCCACCTTCCATATGTGCACATGCACCTTTTCCACCTTCCATATGAGCACATGCACCTTTTCCACCTTCCATATGTGCACATGCACCTTTTCCACCTTCCATATGAGCACATGCACCTTTTCCACCTTCCATATGAGCACATGCACCTTTTCCACCTTGCATATGAGCGCATGCACCTTTTCCACCTTACATATAAGCACATGCACCTTTTCCACCTCACATATGAGCACATGCACCTTTTCCACCTTCCATATGTGCACATGCACCTTTTCCACCTTGCATATGAGCGCATGCACCTTTTCCACCTTGCATATGAGCACATGCACCTTTTCCACCTTCCATATGTGCACATGCACCTTTTCCACCTTACATATGAGCACATGTACCTTTTCCACCTTGCATATGAGCACATGCACCTTTTCCACCTTGCATATGAGCACATGCACCTTTTCCACCTTACATATGAGCACATGCACCTTTTCCAACGACTCTACCTCCTGAGGAAGTTGAATTCATTTGGAGTCAGGAAGGACATTTTACTGACTTTCTATTATTCTTCCATAGAGAGTATTATCACATTTTCCATCCCCTGTTGGCTTTATTCTGTCAGCCTGAAGTATAGAAACCGTCTGTCAGGGTGCGCTGGTGAGTGGAGCGGAGGTGAGGATCCAAATGCAGGGGAGAAAGCAGGCAGGCAGACAAACTGGACAACTGAAAGGGTTTTAATGATTCACGCACGCAGGACATGGAAACAATGAAGCAACAAGAGACAAAGGACTGGAGGGGTTTAAATACAGGAGGGCTGGGAGCTTGGGTGATTGGGAAACAAGAGGCAGGTGGGAGCAATCAACAGGGACACAGGCTGAACCACATGGAGAGACAGGACAGGGTGTGACAGTACCCCCCCCCCCCCCCCCCCCCCCCCCCTCAAAGGGCGGCTTCCAGAAGCCCACAGGAACACAGAACAGGGCCGGAGGAGGGGGACCCGGATGGAGGGCCGAGAGGGACAGAGGGCCCGATGATCAGGAGGCAGGGACCAGCAGAGTCCGGGGGCCTGCACCCGGGGCAGAGGAGGCAATAACGACGACAGGCTCTTGGG